ACCGGGTGGCTTATAAACAATAGAAATGTATTTCTTACAGTTGTGGAGGCTAGGAAGCCCAAGATTAAGGTGCCAACACATTCAGTGTCTGGTGAGAGCTGACTTCCTCATACATGACTGTTTTCTCACTGTATCGTTACATGGCAGAGGGGTGTGAGATCTTTGGGGGGTCTCTTTTATAAAAGGCACTAATCTCATTCATGAGGGCTCCACCCTCATGACTTAATCACCTCCCAAAGGCCCCACCTCCTACTATCATTCCCTTAGGGTTAGGGTTTCAACGTATGAATTTGGGGGTGGCGGCATAAACATTCAGGCCATTGCACAGGGTATATGGAAACTCTGTAATATCTTTGCAGTTTTTCTATAAATCTAAAACTGTCTAAAACAAAATTTATTAAAAGACAAAACAGGGAGTTCCCTGGTGGCCTAAGTTAGGATTCCAGGTTTTCACTGCTGTGGCCCAGATTCAATCCCTGGTCGGGGAACTGAGATCCAACAAGCCCTGTGGCGTGGCCAAAAGAAAAAAAAAAACAAAAAGCAAGGCTCATATTGGCTAAGAGGCTTGCCCCAGGTTAGCACTGGGACTAGCATCTAGGTCATTTGATTCTAAGTCATTTTCACTACCGAGGGGCTTCCACCACTACCTCACGGAAGGGAGCTGTGTGTCAGTGGTTGCGGGAGGTACGGGATGAGAGTAGCTAATAAGTACTTACAATCCAGTAATTCTGGAAGATCGAGGCAGTATAAAGCACATGAGTGCTATGGATTCGAGCAGAAAGTATTTCACGATCTAGAACAAACAATCAACTGATAGAAGGAGCTAGGTGCAGAGGCTGCTCCAATAGCAGGTGGTCAGCACACAAGCTAGAAAACTGGGAACAAAGGGCCAGAGATGAGAGATATTTTAGGAAACCCAAGATTAGAATCTAGAATTAGAGTAATAGGTACTGGGAATAAAAATAATTGCACCGTTTGAATTAAGTACTGTCCTTTTTATCCTCCTTGCCTGGGGAGACATAAAGTGTGGCTAGGCCTAAGCTCCCAAGTGAGAGGGAGTGAGGATAACTGGCTGGAGCTAGGGAATTGAAGGGGTGGGGATCCGGGAGTACCTGTCTGCCTTCCAAATTTCAAGTATTTTAGGTCAGTCTTCCTCTCTTCTTCACCCTGCTTTTTCTGCTTCAGAGCCTAGGTCCCTCTGGCTGTTCCTTTATATATCTTGCAATGATAAATGACCCCTCCTCAACTCCATATCATCATTTGGATCTCCTGATGAGCTATTTGGGGTTCCCACCCAAATGTCGCCTATGCCCATGGCTAGTCCTCCGAAACGTTAAATATTGGGATACGCAAATGCCAATGAATGTACTATAACCAGTAACACAGTACTTTGCCTCTGGCCTCTAGAATTACGCCAGTCTTACAGAATTAGAATTACTACTTTATATGACCATGCAGCATGGACTGCCCCTTCTCCTACCCTTGCAGCCACTCCTTGCAGTGAGCTCCCCCAGGCCAAGGACCATATTTCATTCATCTCCATCTTTACTCTCTTCAGTGCTACCACATGATAGACCCTCAATAGATTTTTTCTTCAATTTGAATAAAGCAATGACCACCCTACTAAAAATTGCTTTTTAGTTTTTCTCTCTCTTCCCTATTTAGTTTTTCTCCATTGTACATTGTTATGTGTTGAATTGTGTCCCCCTAAAACATGTTGAAGTCCTAACCTCCACTACCTGTGAATGAGACTTTATTTGGAAATAGGGTCTGTGTAGATGATCAAGTTAAGATCAAGGCACTAGGGTGGACCCTAATCCAATATGACTGTGTCCTTAGAAAAAGGGGAAATTTGGACACAGAAGCACACATGCACACAGGGAGAACACCACGTGAAGATGAAGACAGAGATTGGGGTGATGCAGCCGAAGCCAAGGAACGCCAAAGATTGCTAGCAAACCTTTAGGATGTAGGAGAGAGGCATGGAGCAGATTCCCCCTTCCAGCTCCCAAAAGGAACTAACCCTCCCAACACCTTGTTCTGGGACTTCTAGCCTCCAGATCACCTAGTACGTTACTGTCTAAAACACCCAGGTCATGGTACTTTATTGTGGCCCTAGCAAATTAATACACTTATCACCTTCACCTTCTAACTTTATAATTGTCTATCTTCCAGACTAAAATGTAAGCTTCGTGGGGTCAGGGATTTTATCTGTTTTGTTTACTCTCGAATCCTCAACATGTAGAAGAGTTTCTGGTACAATGTAGCTCTCAATATTTGTTGAAAAAAGTAATATCCATGAATACTTTAGAGGAAAGGGATTGTTCACAATAACTTGGACACTGTTTTTATTTGGAAAACAACCTACATGAAAATATTCCCACTTATAAAGCAATAATTGAAAACATTATCAATTTAAAATAATATACAATATACTCTGGCTACTTTTTCGGAGGGGGAAATCTTAAACCCTCAGAAGTTGGTCCTATTGCTGGTTTCCCCAGTTTACCAATGACAGAGTGCTTGGGACTGTGAATATACATGGTTAAGGTAGGGAGGTCAGCCATCAGGGCTTCCTAGTTGTTTCTTCCAGCTTTTTTTTTTTTTTGCTGTACGCGGGCCTCTCAGTGCTGTGGCCTCTCCTGTTGCGCAGCACAGGCTCCGGATGCGCAGGCACAGCGGCCATGGCTCACGGGCCCAGCCGCTCTGCGGCATGTGGGATCCTCCCGGACCAGGCCACGAACCCACGTCCCCTGCATCGGCAAGCGGACTCCCAACCACCGCGCCACCAGGGAAGCCCTCTTCCAGCTTTTAAGTCTGCTCTTCTGAAGGAGATAACGTAAGGTCCAGGGCAGAAAACCCTTCTCCCTTTCCTCATCCTTATTACCTTCCTCCTACCATGCGCCAAATATTTGAGTGGTTGAATGCATGTGTTCAGGTATTAGAAGAGAATAATTCTAGTGTCTTTTCTTCCCTCTGTCACTAGGGAAAACAAAACAAAACAAACCAAAAAACTTCGCTGACACCTGTAACACAACACCGTTTTAATTTTTTAGTTTTTTCTCAGTTTAGGGGAAGAAAATGTTTTCCTCCACCCTCCTAGGGTCCCTGGTTGGGCCTAAAAATTAAACTGACAAAAATAGATTAATGCAAGAAAAGCATACTAATTCATATTGTTTTACATGATACAGGAGCCTTCATAAGGAAATGAAGACCCAAATAAATGGCAAAACTTATTAGCTTTTATATTGGGTTGAACAAAGAGAAGCAATTGTGGACAAGTGACTTAACAATGTGGGGAGGCTAAAGGAAGATAAGAACTATTTTAACAAGGTCTGTTTGTTTAGAATTCTCTTGGTCTTATCTTCTCTCCTTGATGATAAGAACGGTACTTTCCTTCTGATATTAGGGAGGACATCTTTCATATAGGAATTTCATCTTCTGCTTTTAAGAAAAAGAAGGAAGGTCATTATTTTTCTTGTATTTGATGTTTTCCAAGTGCCCCCAACTCAAAATAGTCAATATACCAAAGCAGCGTCCCCTGGGGTGATACACCCTGCACCACTTCATCGGCATACTCAGCATTTCTCAACAGTCCCAGGAGGTAGGTACTAGCTGGAGGGTGAGAAAACAGAGTGGTTACCACCTTACACAAGGCACAAAGAAACTCTTAAATCTCAATCCAGTGCCTTTTCTGGTGTACTGATGATAGCTGCACAGGTTTTCTCTTTTAAAGAAAGGGTGGTATCCAAAAAGATGAAAGAGATTTACTTTCAGAATTGGAAGGTACAGAGCATTATGCAAGACTCTGTAGCTATTACCTCTGGCATGTCTGAGGAGACTGTGGGCAGTGAGCAAGGGGAGGAGAGGCCTGAGTTCCAGGGAGTGAGGACTGGCCCCAAGTGTCCCCCTCATCAATGATCTTCCTTCAAATATACACGCAGGATACACACACTACCAAGGGGGCCAGCTTTGAGAGATAGTTTTGATAAAAACCATCCCAGAGTCCCATGACTGGCACTGGGCACCACTTAGAGTTCAAAGAAATAAGGAAAGATGAGCACACCAAAGAGGCTGGGATGAAAAAATGGAGATTAGCTAAACTGGAATGAAAGTGTGGGTGGGGAAGAGGTAGAGGGTGAAGACGGCATCAAGGTGGGGTGGAAAGATCACATTCTTGGGCTTGAAGTGCAAGGATAACAGCGATTAGATAGAGAAAGAGGGCTGGGGCAGAAGGTGAGTGGCACCGTTATGAAGGCGCAGCCCTAGGATAGAAGGAGGCTCTAGGGCCGCCCCCTGGGGGCATCTTGTTACCAGGTGCACTTAAATTTCTGTGGCTTAAAACAGGCGCCTACGCTCTGGCTTCACGAAACGACCCTACGGCAGATGCCGAGGTGTTCAGGGTGACCTTGGTGATTCTTTCAGATTATCCGTCCTCGCTCACTCCCAGACGTGTACTGCTAATAAGGCTCTTCTGGAATTCTAGGTTATTCCATGGCCTTCCAAGAAGCTTCTCCCCCTATCCTTTCCCTACCAATGTTTGGAAGCACAGGAAAAGCAGCCTGCAGACTCCCATTTACCTGGACACCCTGAGTGACACCGCTATCGCTGCCCCTCTCGGGGGCTGGGCTATTCTGCACGGTCCAGGGCTCGCTTGGGGCCTGGGGCATCCCGGGGGCGGTGTGCGGCCAGTGGGTGTCCTGGGGCGGGCTTCTGGGCCTCGGCAGCGCGGGAGGAGGCAGCGGCGACGCTGGCTGACAGGCTGATGATGCCCGGTGCCCGCAGCCGATGGGAGGCAGCGTGAGCCCGAGAGAACCCGGAGCAGCCGCGGTGGCAGCGCTGGAGCGCAGCCTCCTCCCGCTCCCACAATGCACAGGGCGAGGGCGGCGGCGGCGGCGGCAGCAGCATCACCGGCTGTAGGGTTGGCAGCGGCGGCGACCCCGAGGACCCCGGGCACGCCGAGCGCGCGACACTGCTCGCGGCGAGCCCGGGAGTGATGGCGAGGCCCCCGCTGGCCGCCCGCGGCTGAGACGCCCCACCCCACCCCGCCCCGCCCGGAGCGGCCCGCCCCGCCTGGCCCTGCCCTGCTCCCTGCCGGCTGCAGACCCGGCGTTTCCTAGTCGGCGCGGGCAGCCGCCCAGAAGAGGTGCGGCCTCCGCACAGGCGGGGGGCGTCGGCGCCGCGGGGCCCGCCATGGCCGCGTCGGAGCTTTACACAAAGGTAAGGCGCCCCATGAGCCGCGCCTTGGGGAGGGGGCCGCGCGGCCCGGCGCCGCCAGCTGTCAGGCCGGGGAGGGGCCGGGGCGCGGGGACCCAGTCCGGCCCCTCCGGCACCACCCCCTTTCCGAGCATTTCGAAATCCTCTGCCTTGCCCGCCGGTCGCCCGCAGAGGCACCTTCCTTGTTCGGGCGTTGATGGTTAAGGCGGCGGAGGGAGGCCTGCCTCGGGGTGCCTCTGTGGCCCTTGCCACCCTTCTTGGCCTGGGAGCAGTGCGGGTTTCTAAGTGGAAAGCGGGTCTGTGTGGCTTTAGTAGGGCGAGCCTGGGGCAGGATTGCTCAGCCCTCCGTCTTGCTTTAGGAAAAATCCTGGCTGGTGGGAGATCCTAGATCTGACAGATTAGATGGTCGGTCCCTCCCCTGGGGACACGCGCTTAAAATAACGTCTGGTGTTGGTATGCGGTGCCACTTCTACCGCCACCCAACCTTTCTGTGAGGTATGGAATCTTGCAAAAGGTCGCCAGTCGATTTTCACCTTTAGGTGCCCGGTTTCAGATTGCTACCCTGGGGTGGAGAGCCCCTGGGGAAGATGCAGACGAATAAATGCGAGCTGATTCACTGGGGTGGTCGGTACTCATTTGTCGCTGGGAGTTTGCAATCTGCATGTAATCCCTTAGAGCCTTGTTAGGCTCCATGTCTTCACCATCCTCTGGGGTGAGCCTTTTCCTTCTGGGTTTTGTTTAAGGGAAGTGGCAGCCTTTCCTTCTTATACTGACAGCAGTATTCTCTGGGGCTGGTAATCTCTGAATGGCATATTTTGGAGAACTGTCCCTTCAAGACAGTGTGTGGTGCCCTTTGTGACTGTGTGTAGTGATGGCGTTTTATACTATCACTCCTGTGTAGGTAGATGTTTTTCCAGCTATTAATTACCTCTAATTCCAGTTAACAGAATTAACCTTAACTTTTTGAGTTTGCATCTGAGGCCAAGTCTACATTTATGGTCTCAGAATCACTGCTTCCAAATATGACCCAAGTAAGCCCAGGGCTCAAGTTGCAGCATGTTATAGAAGGAAGAGGTCTGGACCCGCCATCAAGAGAACTGGATTCTAGCCCTTGATTCTAGCCGGGGCCTTTTCACTTACTGTGTGACCTTGGGCAAATCACTTAACCTCTCTGTGCTTTAGTTTCCTCATCTGTAAATGGAGTTAATTATACCTGCCCTACATCTCTTACAAGGTTGTTGTTGTGAGGATCAAACAATAATACATGGGAATGCTTTTCGTAACCTGTGAATTTCTCTACAAATGAGGTATATTTCTTCAACCATGAAATGAGTTTGCATGAAACATTTCCTGGGACCTCTCTTTCCAGCTTCAGATTTGAGGACTACACAATGAAACTTCTCTCTAAACCTGGTAATTCTTTAGGCATTGTAGATACCTAATGTATGATTGAATGCAATTGGAAATTGATCCAAAGTTACTTTATAAACAAACATTTATATAAAGCTAACTATGTGCCAGGTACAGTTTTAAGTGCTTTACAAATATTAACTCATTTAATCCTCATAATAAACATATGAGGTGGGTACTAAGAAATATCAGAGTCATTTTCACAAGAAGAGATATGGTCTGTAAATATTCCTTAGTTACTTTGTATAGACCCCATTCTTCACTGCCTGAGGAGTCCATCCTTCAGCTGCCTGACTAATTGTAGGCTGCTTAGCTAGACACTGGTTGGATAATACGTTGCTCTTGGGTTTTGGGTCTGCTTTTTTCTCCCAAAATAATTGGCAAGAAAAAAATTTAAAAGATCCTGTGATTTTTAAAATTGTAAGGTTTGGGATGGGCTTTGGTCATAATCACAATCTGTTTTAAAATTCACCCTCTAGTCATTGTAAAGACAAACTGGTTTAGACATCAGTAGGGAAGTTGAGCTTAAGTTGCCTTCTAAATGCATTTATACCTAAGGATAATCTGGTTACTTGGTTTGTTTGTTGGCTCATTCTTTTTGTGAATGGACCTTAGCTTAATGGCGGACAAAAATATTTATTGAGCACCTCCTGGGTGCCAGGTACTCTGCTTAATGTTGAGAGGTTCTAACATAAACAAGACACAGTCCTTTCCCTCGAAGGGTTTACAGCCTGCTTCTTATATTCTTGGCCCACTTTGAATCTTCAAGGGCATAAATAACCTGCTGTTACCTCAGCAGCAGGCAGACAGCTGGTATGGTATTTATTTGTAGAAGTTAGGGAAGAGGTTGGGACATGAGAAGGTTGGAATGATTCTAGAGATAAAAGCTTGGGTAGTGATTTTTAGAGGACGAGGGAAATCATTAGAGGTAATATAAATGGATATTAAACACAAGGATTAGACTTCCCTGGTGGTGCAGTGGTTAAGAATCCGCCTACCAATGCAAGGGACACAGGTTTGAGCCCTGGTCTAGGAAGATCCCACATGGTGGAGCAACTAAGCCTGTGTGCCACAACTACTGAGCCCATGTGCCACAACTACTGAGCCCACGTGCCACAACTACTGAACCCGTGTGCCACAACTACTGAAGCCCGTGCACCTAGAGCCCGTGCTCCGCAACAAGAGAAGCCACCGCAATGAGAAGCCCACGCACTGCAATGAAGAGTAGTCCCCGCTTGCCACAACTAGAGAAAGCCTGCATGCAGCAACGAAGACTCAGCGCAGCCAAAAATAAAATAAATAAATAAAATTAAAAAACAATGTATATAAAAAAAAAAAAAAAATTTTAAAAAAAAAAAAAAAAAAACAATGTATATAAACACAAGGATTTTCCCCTTGCAGAGGATTATAGGGAAGGAAGTTCTGGAGGTAGACTACAAGGAAAGATATAATAGTTACATGCCATGATTATGGTATTCAACATAGTGGTTAAATTTGAAAAGTGCCCTTTTCAAAATGTCATTCAGAGCTTAAAGGCAGATTCTGATGTGTGATAGAAATCAGCTCCTATTACAGTGAAAGACAAAAGACCATTCAGTTTATTCTTTTTAGCTAAAATGATAATGGTTTTGTCACAGCAATTTAGCAGGGCTTCCCTTTTGTAAATTTTTCCAGCAGTATAAACATTTTAAAGGCAATAGCTGGGTTACTAGGATATAACATTTCTGGAAACTAACATTTTGGTTAAAACATGTTTGTTGATTGTTAAAATAACAGCTTTATTGAGGTATAATTCACATAATGTACAATTCACCAATTTAAAATGTACAATTCAAAGGTTTTTGGTATAATCACAGAGTTGTGTGTTGATTTATTTTTAGATCCACCTGACTCGTTCCTGAAAGAATTGAAGGTGGTTGTGACATCTTATTGTTTCTGGTTTTGAAAATATTTGCTGGTCTTGACTTTCCAGTGGGTGTCTGAATGATGACATCACTTGTAGCTACTTTCAGCACCTTCAAAGGATTCAGCATTTGTGGAGCAGGGTTTATTAATTAGACCTGGATGGATCACCAATAGCAATAAAATGGCATCCTAGTCATCCTCACATGAAGTTCCCAGACACCATGGGTACCACATAAATGCTGTAGAATGGCCAAGATTACCTGAAGTTTAATTAGGAGTCCCATAGTATGTCAGGATGCTGAATTTTCTAACAGTACAGAAACAGTCTAAAACCCTCACTCCAGAAGCCAAGTACACTTTCCTTAGATGAAACAACTATTAGGCCAGTAGATTGTATATCTGTAATCTTCCTTTCCCACCATATTTCCTCATACCTACTGAAGCTGCATGGACTAGATTTTTTCTGGGATAGTCCCAATTTTATATTCTATGCCATTGTCCCTTTAAATCATCAATCCTGGAAATTCTAATATTTTGGTGTTGAAATTGCATTTCTTAGACTGCTTCCAGCCTCTTAAAGCAGAACAGAAATCTCTGATCATGTTCCCTGATTTGGGCTTTGGCAAGTACATTCACTTTTCTTAAATCTCCTGTCATGCTCCTTCTATCTGTATTTCTTCCTGATGTCCTTTGGCCTGTTAATGGCTCTGCTATTTTCCTAGTCCCTCATGCTGGAAACCTCTGTAGCTTTTTCTTTGTCTCATATTCTACTTTTTCTTTACCAATTCTGATTTTACTTGACATCCAGCTGACAGTTCTCTGTCTTAATGACCTGTACACATTTCTATCTTATTATAGTTATCTGTATATATGTAAGCCACTCCCACAATACTGTAAGCCCCTTGAGATGCTGGTCAGGGTTTGTTTACCTCCTGTAGAGCCTATCACAATGTCTTCCACATAGTAGCTGTTCATTAAATATTTGTTGGATGGATTAAAAAATATTTAAACAGGAGAGAAACAGAAAATAATGGTTTGGGATGATTAGTCCACTTGTAGGAATGAAGCAGGGTGTAATGGAGTGGTTAAACAAGTAAGCACATTTTCAGGCATGATGAACAGGGTGAGTAATAGAGAAGAGAGCTGGGAGCCAGGGAGACCAAGGAAAATGTTGTAGGAAACAAAATGGAAAGTGATGAAAGTCTGGTAGATTGAAGTGCAGGCAGAAAGTGTGAGAGACAGGTCTCTGTGATGGAGTAGATACAGGAAGAGAAGGAGAGGGAATAGTGTAAGTTAACACCAGTGGCTCTAGCTTTGGAAACTGGAAGTTAATTCTCATTATATCATGAATTTTTGCTGACTCTGGAATTTGTAAGTGGCTCAGAAATACTTCTTTAGACTGTTTGAGCAAAGCAGAATGGTTGTGATCTCCTCTTGAAATTTGTTACTGTTTCTTGAAGTGTGACAGTTCGGTGTATTGCCCAGTGGCTAAAAGATTACAAAAAGTTATAATTTTAATGAGAGTTGCTACTGCCACATAAACAGGTTAATTCTTCCTGGTGCTTTTAGCTTTTTGAAGTAAGGGGATACTGGAGGAAGGTCTGAATGGGGTTCCGGGGATTTAACTTCAACCTCCAAAAGGTTGAGGTGGAGTGGGGGGGATAACTTTCCTATAGGAGACTGTGGGA